CAGGAGGGGAAGGGCCTCTATGTGGTGGATTGATTCAGTGACTGGGGTAATCCAGATGGGTGTGTCAGAGGCAGTGCGATTGGCACAGGATAGAGCAGGGTTTAGGGCTGTTGTACATAGGGTCGCTATGAGTCGCAAGCAACTTGATGGCACATAACAACAACAACAACAACAACATAATCATCTTCTGTCAAGTCAGTTATAAGCTCCTTGAAAGCACAAATCTTGTCCCAATATTTTCTGTAACACTGGCACCCAGCACAGAAAGTGGAACAGAAGAAAGTAAGTGATTAGTCAATGAATTAATTATTAAGAAAATAGTAAACACTCCTGCACATGCCTGGGCAGCTTCCACAGGATGGATGTAAACCAGTGTGTGCTCTGGACCATCCACCGACGTGTAGGAGGCACCATCTGCTGTATACACCACCTGCTGCGGGGGACGCCCCTGCTCATCGGTGTAGACAATCTGAGCCACAGTTCCAGCATCCGGAACAAAGTGCACCTGGAGCAAAAGGCAGGCATGTATGAAGCATCTCTTATAAGACAGCATTAATTTGTGAATTTTCCATTTTAAAATACTCCCCAGTGAAACAAAAATGGGGATGAATAAAGCTTCACCCACACTTACTTAAGAGTGACTAGGAAACAGACTCTTAAAACTTTGCTTAGTATTAGGCAACTGCCTTAGATCCCCCTCTGCCTGAAATGTCCAACCCAGATATCACAGGTAGGAGAAAATGAGTGTGCTTTTAGCCAATCCTGGGAATGTAACTAAAGATTTCTGGCTGAAGATACTACCAGTACACAAAAATCAACCATTCTGTGATATGAAAAAAATATGTCTAGATGCAAAGGCAAACTGCCCTCAACATAGCACAGAAAATTCTACTTAATAAGTACTCTGTAAACTGCCTTTCAGCAAATACATTAAACAAGGTTACTTTTTTTTCTCCCCTATAAATTCTTTCATAATAAAAGCACAGACTGGAGGCATACCAGTAAATGTTTGCTGAATAAATGAATAAACAGAACTCTTCTTCTTGTCTAAATAAAATATAGAAAACGTTAATGGAACACTTATTAAGAGGTTTTGGAAAAATTATTTCATTATTATCAAAGTGAGTAATTCTCCATGTCCCAAATAACTGAGGAACTGAAGCAGAAACCTAGTGTGGTGAAATCCTTTCAGAGTAGTTGATTTGGAGCTCTAAATTTGGCAGACAAGCTGATACCTTGTATTGGTGTGTGAGCAGACAGCACTTTGGGGAAAGAAGTCTCTTATTGTTGATATGAAGGCCAAGTACTGTCAGACTGGAATCCTTATTCTTCCCGCTCCCTCCCCCACCCCTTTATTCTTACACTAGCTTGGCCAATTTAATTTATTATTTCCATTTTCTACAATAGGAATGAGATATTCCAAAGAAGATACAAACTCACTTAATCCTGTAAAGGAAACCTGATGCTCACATATAATGAAGTACCACATAAATGCAACAAACCTCTCTCTATGAATGCCTACATAGAGTCAATTAACTTGTGAAGTAATTGTGTAGCTGACCTCCTATTTGTGACGTTCTCATTGCTATAACATTATCTTGTGACTTTATATTTAGCTCTGTTTATCAGCATAAAAACTATAGACTAGTACATTTCTTCCAAAGAAGAGATATGCAAGATTGTCCACGTGCCTGTGATGGCTCAGTACTTTACAGGACTAGAATTATTAGCTGGGAAAGAACCATGAGAAGAGATGCAACTGTCCATTTCCACAAATAGGGCCTCTGGTCAAGTTGTATCACAACCACTACTTGTTTTGTGCTTTTTATGAGTTACATTCTAGTTTACAGACAAAACAAAACACACTTAAAAATGGAACTATATGAAGGGATCCTTCAATATGGCTCCCCTGGGATCCGAACACAGAATTTTCAATTATTCTGCTGTAAACATCTCTAGAAGTTGGGTTTTTATTAATAAAAAGAAATTCTTTAAACTCAGACTTTCAAATATTATTATATGATCAATTTTCTTGCTTACTATGATACCATTTTGCTTAAAAATTAACTTTTTACTTTGGTGACATATAAACAATTGCTCACATGACTTTTGCCTCTTCCTAAAACTAAAACCCAAAATGCAGACATTTGCCTTTGCTAAAACTTATCAAAAGCACATGGGGAAACGAAAATTAATTTTAAAAAAGCACATGGCATTGGGAATGGTTCTGAGGGTAATCAGAGAGGCACTTTTTGATAGCACTTTTTGAAGAGATGGCATTCTCCAGAGCTTATTATTGATAATGAGAAACTTTAACTTAAAAGTTAAAAGGACTTAAAAAAGAAACAGTAGAAAAGTAATTTACTTCATAGACATACTCTGTACACTTGACTCTTGAACAACATTTGATTCAACCATAGAGCCCACCTGGAGGTCTCTTTCCCCCAGCACGACAGAGAGGAGCTCCCATGTTGTGAAAATGCCTATAAAGCACCATGAGACAAATCAGACCCAAGGGAACAGTTTAAGTTGATCAGCCTCACACAAGAGTTGAAATGGAACTTCACAGCACTTGAGCTCGCTCAAACACCAACAGGAAAATATTCTCATCTGAATGGGCCTCCTGCAACTGTTCAAGGATCAACAGGAAATGACAGTAAACTGTAGATGGCAAAGGAGTCCAGTGTTTCCAACTCCCTGCATTGTTCAAAGGTCTGCTGTACTTCAATACACATGAAGAATCAGAATCCTATGCTAGATAACAGAGAAGAAACAAACTGCAGTGTAAGGTGCCCTGCCCCAGTAACATCAAATAAAACAGTAAAAGATGACAGCAGCAAGTTGCAGAAAAGGAAGAACAGACTTGTAGTAATTTAACTGTGGCTCTAAATCACAGTAAATCATCTTGGTGGAACATTCAAAGAAATAAACATTGCCTATGCCTTATATCAAGTTCAAGTCAGTCCCCTACTAAATATTCATTACTATATAGTAGCTGTTATTTATGAGCTATTTATAGATTAAATTATGTCCCCTAATACACATGTCAACTTGGCTAGACCACAACTCTCAGTATTATACAGCTGGCCTCTGTTCTGTGATCTTATGTAAGATATTAGATGGGGTTTTTTGTTGTTTGTATGTGTTTTTTAAAAAATACTGTGTGTTATAAACCCTAATCTCTGTGATGATAATTAAGCAGGATCAGAGACAGTGAGATGGGTGAGCTAGGGCAAAAGTGAAAAGACTGTATCTTGAGTTAATTTCTTTTTCAAATATAAAAGAGATTAAATAAGCCAGCTGAGATCAAAAGCACCTACTACTATCAAGAAAGAAGAGAAGGGTGAAGAGTGCATCCTTTGGATCCAGGGTCCCTAGACTTGGAACCCCCTATATGCAGGTGAAGACTAATGACCGCAACATGGAGCTCGCCAAGCAATCAAGGCCTACAGATCTCGGAGGTGACAGGACATACTCCCAGAGCCAACAAAGACCCACTGCCTAGAGTTAGTGCCCTAAATATGAACTTCTAGTCCCCTAAACTGTAAGAAAATAAACTTCAACTTATTAAAGTCATCCACTTGTGGTATTTCTGTGATAGCAGCACTAAATAAATCAGGTCAGTGGCCTGCCAGCTCACTACACCTGAGTGTAACACAACTGTCAACACAAAGCTGGAGAGGATCATCCTTCACCTGAGCAGCGTTCTGTTGGTGTTCTGCAGATGTGGGCCACACATGGGAATTTTCAGCTTTGGGGTCCATCTCTTCTCCACTGAGTACTCCAAGACAAGGGGACCTAGAGCAGCAGAGGGTGGACAACAGTCTTCTGCCTACCACATATGTGTTTATGAACGACAAAATGGTCCCTCTGCAATGTGCCTGAAAAAGAAAGAAAAGGAACCAAAACTTTGAGTAGATGAAACATTTTCATAAATTACAGTTTCAAGTTCTAACAGAAAAAAAAGGTAAAAATGGAAAATTAATAAAAACTATAATACGATGTTTGCTCTCTACAGTGTGTGTGTGTTTGTATATAAAAAGTATGAAGAACGATCTTCACCAGAAATAAATAGGGTAGTTATTTGGGTTCTTGATAGGGACAATGAGGTTCACATTCACAGATGCTCAAGACAAACAGTAATGTGTTCAAACACAAGTCTGACAATGACACAACCAAAATTCATTCATCCATTGGTTCAGCTGTGAACATGCAAGGAGAGAAGAAAAGGAATCAAATTTTCTGGGCCACAACTTGATGACTATAGATATAAATTGTGTTTTGCAATACTCTTAGTGAACATATGATTAGTTAAACAAATTAAAAGTCTTAGTAAAAAATCAAGATACAACCTGCATGTAGAAATCTTACTCCTTTCTAAAGCAGGCTTCTTAAAACAACCAACCTTCCCTTTTGAAAATGATAAATTTTGCATACTTTAAAAGTCCTGTGACAAAGTGGGCAGGAAACATGTAACGACTTTTCACAGAGAAAGACATTTGGATGGCCAAGAGATAAATGAAATGCTCAAAATCACTGGCAGTAAGAGAGACAGAAAAATCAAAACCACAATGAGATACCATCTCACCTCAGTAGCAGTGGCAGAGGTTAGCAGGGCAGTAAATAATAAACGTTGAAGAGAAGGTGGAGAGGTTTGTAGAATTGTAAAATGGTACAACCATTCTGGAAGGCAGTTTGGCATTTCCTCAAAAAGCTGATCATAGGAATTCCATATGACCCAGCTATTCCACTGTTTGAAATATACCCCAAGGAAATTAGAACCGAGACACAAATGGAAATTTGTACACCAAGGTTCATAGCAGCATTATTCACCATCACACAAACATGGAAACAGCCCAAATGGCCAACCATAATTGAACAAACTGAGAATCTGGTATACTGACCCAATGGAATACTATGGCAGCACTCTGGAATAATGATTAAAAAAATACTGCATAACTTGGGAGAGACTGGAGAACATTATGCTGAGTAAACTAAATCTCATAAGGACAAATACTGCATAAGACCATTATAAACACAGGAAAATAACTAATAAAATGTGTATGGGGGGGGTCCAAGGAGGAAAAGGGTGGGAGTGGAGGGGTGAGAGTGGGCATAAGGGAAATCATAGTGCTGCAAAATTTGGGAGGTGTGGGGAGGGTGTAATGGAAATGGGAAAGATCTGGCAGGGATCTGCAAAGACAGGGTAACTAACGGTAGACACAGTTCAGTGGTGATTGACTTTATGAAACATAATGAGAATGATTGTATGAAATAAAAGTGAATGAAGAATAGTGTGAAATATAATGTATATAAGCTTTATATGCAAACCAATATAAAAAAAGTTTAATTCTTTTTTAAAAAAAAGTCATGTGAGACTTTTGTTTTAGATTTTCTAGTGTAACAGAGAAGCAGTGAAGCCACATCAAGCACAGCTCCTCCCGATCTATCACTCTAATAGAATACACACAGAAAGGCCAGAGTACTAATAAACTAAAGAAAGACACTGGCCAAGTTCTAGGCAGAATGCTTTCCACTATTAATGCAAATAAATGGGTAATCACATTTCTAGACTTCACTTATGCAAGCACAGAATAAAGTTGGAGAAGAGTATTGAATATCTCATGGACTTCCAAAAGAACCAACAGACATGTGTTAGAGAAGGTACAACCAAAATGCTTCTTGCAGGCAAAGATGGCAAAGCTCTGTCTCACATACTTTGGACATGTTGCTAGGAAAGGCTATTCTTTGGGAAAGGATATCATGTGAAAGGGAGGAAGAACCTTAATGAGATGAATCAACACAGTGACAGTAGCAATGGGCTCGATTATGTCAGAAATGATGGGGATGACATAGGACAGGCCAGAGTTCAGATCTATTGTTCACAGGGTTGCTAAGAGTCATACTCAGCTCAATGGCACCTAACAACAAGAAGCATATATGTGTATAAATTTGACCATATAGGCATACACATCTATGTGACTGTATGGACATACATTCATTTAGATTATAATGTACACAGGATGCATCCAGACATCTTGTAAGACTGATTTCTCAGTTCAAATGATTACAACCATAGTCATGTGGGGCAACACAGGCAGCTGGCATAAACTAATGAATAAAGCTTGTGTTCTATATTGTATTTTTGTGAGTAACATTCTTTTTTTTTTTTTAAGGTTGGGAAATATTTATTTTCTTTAAACAAGGTCATAAATAACAAAGAAACAAATTGGGTCCCTGACTCTGGACTGTGCAGCAGGACAGGAATAAGAAGTTGTTGGGTGGAAAGATGGAGGGGGCTATGCATCACCTAAGACAGTCACAGAGAAGATGGGCTTCAGGAGACTGCTTCTCTTGCCCTTGGAAAAGGCGTGCCTGGGCAGTAGGGAGTGGCTGCAGTGCCATAGTGAGGCAGCTGGAAGGGGAAGGAATGGGGCTATGGATTGTACTGTTTCTATGAAGAGTGACAGGAAAACACAAATAGCAAAGAGAAGCTCTGGGTCTAGAAAAGGCAAATGGGCATTTTGTTTATTTCCAAGGACCAATGATGAAAACGATCAACTTTGAGTTTTAAAAACAATTCCACAGGCTGTGGCTTTGTGCATGGGCTGTATTTAACCTGGGTCACTCTAAGATACCAGCCTGAAAATTGAGTCCAGCCAGTCCAAGTACATGGCCTCCTATCTGAGGAGAGCCCATTCTCCATTCCCACATGTATGGGTGCCTCCTGGGCTGAGGCCAGGCTGCTCCAGGGGACTCTTGAGCCCTCATCTGCCACAGAGTGAGTAACATTCTTAATAATATGTCTTAAAAGACACCAAATGACAATCTAAGGTACAACTCTAGAGTCTTGACTCATCTAGTGCAAAAAAAGAGCAAGAAGACCAAAGACTCAAAGGAAAAAACTTAGGCAACAGGAAAAGTAGTCTATCTGCACCACGACCTTATGTACCCTGAGAACATTAAGAACTACAATGAATAAGTAAGACTGAAGAAAAACAGACACCTCTGAATCATGGTATTGGTGAAGAGTATTAAATATCTCATGGAATGCCAAAAGAATAAACAGATCTATCATGGAAGTAGTGCAACCAGAGTCCTCTTTAGAGGCAAAGATGGTGAAACTTTCTCTGACACACTTAGGGCATGCTGCCAGGAGGGCCAGTCTTTGGAAAGAAATATCACAGTGACAATACCTAACAAAATGGAATGCTACAGTGACCACAACAGGACTGAGCATGCAGACTTTGTGAGGACAGTGCAGGACAGGGCAAAGTTTTAATGTGTTGCTCAGGGTCACTAGGAACTGCAATCAACTAGACAGCTCTTAGCAACAATAACAGCAACAAGAATACCATCTCTCCTAAACATAGGTGTAAAAACTCTCAACTAAATCTTAACCAATATAATTCAACAGCATATCAAAAAAATAACAAATAATCAAGTGGGATTCATATCAGGTGTGCAGATGGACAGTTCAGCTTAAAAAAAAATATCAGTGTAATCCACAACATAAAACACAATTAACGAAAATAACCACATGGTCATACCAATCAATGCTGAAAAGGCATTTGACAAAATTCAACACCCTTTCCAGATAAAAGCATTGAACAACATAGGACTGTTGTTGTTGTTAGGTGCTGTCATGTCATAGACGACTCATAGCAACCCTATAAAACGAAAGGCCTGAGCACTGTTCATAGAGTTTCCAGAGGCAAGCCATTTTGGAAATGGATAACACTCCTGCTTCCAGGCTCGTTTTAATTGGTAAGCTCCACCAAACACTGTCCACCATGGTTGGGTAACCATTATCATATTTGGCCCATCAGTGTCACAGAGTTCAGCATCACAGCAATCATGAGTTACCTCTGTACAGCAATGCACAGACCAGTGCTATACGGGGAATTATTCAATATTGTTAAGAGTATACATGTAAAACCAATAACTAATATTAGTCCTAATGGAGAGAGAGACTAAAAGCATTTATTTCTTTTGTTAATCAGAACCAGATCAGGATGTCCTTTATAAGCAACCCTATTTAATATTATACAGGAAGCCTAGCCAGAGCAGTAAGAAAAGAAAATGAAATAAAAGGCATCAAAATTGGCAAAGAAGAAACTTCTTGGTAAGATGGAATTTCAAACCCTCTTCAACAAAGACATCAGAAACAAGTATTACCCTAGAATGTGGGGATAAAAGGGAGAACTGGAGAAAAACACAGATGAGAAAAACAGTTGGAACAAAAAGTAAGTGGAGGAATGTGGCCATTTTGAACAGCTGTTTATATGTCAGGGGATTTGGGGCCTACAGAGGTGCCCACACCAGTAGCCGGGTTAAAGAAAAGGTATGGTATTCCTTCTTTTTCATCTTGCCTTTCTGGAGATCAGGGTAGTGGTTTAATCTCATCATAAAAAATGGTTAGAACAGTTAGATAGAGAACTGGCAGAAGTTTAATCTGGGTCTAGAAAAAGCTGTGTGTGGCACCAAGGACGTCAGATGTATCTTTGCTGAAAGCAGAGAATAGAAGAATGTCAATTTGTGTTTAATTGACTACACAAAGGCATTTGACTGTGTGAATATAACATAGTGCACCTTGAAAAGAATGGGAATTCCAGAACATTTAACTGTGTTTATATAAAATTTATACCTGGACCAAGAAGCTGTTGTCCAAACAGAGTAAGGAAACACTGCACAGTTCAAAATTGGAAAAGGTGTGTGTCATATACCCTTTCTCTCCCTACCTACTCAATCTGTATGCTAATAA